AAGTTCCCCTTTTCCAGTGAGTTTAGCCCTTTGTAGCAAATGAGGCCTTGTTGACAGCTTTGATATCCTCTTGCAGTTCAAGGGTAGTTTCCTCAAATGTAAAATGTATTTTCAAATCGCCAATTATGGCCGTAAACTCTGTGCAGATCACCTGTATATCTTTGTGCAGATCACCTGTATATCTTTGTTTTGACTACACTGAGGGTGAAGGGTCGGAATTTTACATTTTGAATTTTACATTTTGTACTCTGGAGTACAAATACCGCGGGTTATTTGTACTCGTCTATGGCGTTATTTGTACTCTACGGACTGTAGTTGGATAATAAACCACACTTTCTATAGGTTTACCAGCTGATAAACCACGTAGGATGTTGGGAGATCCGTCGAAAAGTTTGCAACCCACTCGGCTGCACCCCGGGGTTCACAAACTTTTCACAAACATAAATATGATTGAAGTTTGTCAGAGAGAGAGTGATGAATTTAATCTTGTTTTGTGATCAAGTCACTGATTCTCATAAAACTATCAAAAACTGCGTTAAACCAATCAAAGCGCTGGAAACTGAGTGAACTGGTCAGCTAGAAGAAACTGAGCAGAAATTGTTAAAATAAAAAAACTAACGAGAAATGGCGACATACAAGATAAAGGCACAAGCTATAAAGTGCCATTGAGGAATACTTCAGTTAGACAGAGAAAACGCGCTTTTTGGTGACCAGAGTTGGCCTCCCACTGCGATAACGATCTGATAATCTGCACGAAAGATTTTAAAGTTTGCAACCCAGAAAGCAGTTTTGATATTTTCCAGAGGTTTCTTTATCGAAATAACTGTAAGATGTAGAATTTTAACCGGTGAAATTTATTTCTAGTGTGAGAACTTAACTTTAGATTCTTTAACATTATTGGACCGCACCACGACAAAAGCGGCAAAAGCGAAAGACAAAAAGATCGAGCCGTGTGCACTGATTCAAACACCGACCAGCTATTTTGTTTACTCCCGGTATAAACACTATTTTACTTCAATCGAATTTGTTACTATTGCCTCAGCGCGAATTAAACCTTTGTTGGTGTCTTCGTTCAAATTTACAGAAAGAGCTTCAAACGCTTAAACTTGACAAAAACTATCAAACAAAAGCTGAAATCTCGGACGCGAAACAAAACTGCCACAAATCTCGAGTACACATTTACTTTGCGTGTGCTTTTTGTTCTCACCAGTAAATAAGATTTTCTGTAAATATCTAAATGAAAATCTACGCAGTTTGTCGCTACAATTATCTTGAAGCCAAAGCATGCCAAATTGTCCTTCTCGGCGGGCCGTTGGGGAATTCTCGTCGAGAATGTCAGAAGGTCTTCCACTAAACCGAAAAATGAAAGCCTTAAAAGGCGGGAACAACCAGTTGGTTAAACCGCATTTTAATTTGACAGTGCTATACAAAATTAGTTCTTTGTCTTTGTTTTTGGCTTTGAAAGGGTCCCCTTCGTTTTCTCCAAACCAAAAGCTTTAAACAAGTTAAAATCTGGGAATTTGCCCCATTTGGCGCAGTTTTGACAGGACGGGAAGATGTTTAAATTTTTTATGCGTAAACAGGCCAATGATACAATAGCTTTTTTGACCAATCAGAGCGCGCGTTGCGTCTAAGTTGTGTCATGAATAATAATGATAAAGGCTTATCCACTACTTTTACAGGGAGCTTTGCAAAATTATCCTGAAAACCACAAATACTGCTGGATGTTTTCCTCTCGATTACCCATTTCTTTGTAATGAGGGAAGAGTACACAAAGTGCTAGTATGATCTGACCATCACGTCGTTACAGCATCGCCCCTGGCTCCCGCAAAACCTGGTAGGAAATATGTGGGCTTCAGAGATACACGAGGCCATAATAAAATTGCCGTAAACACGAAGCTAGGATTATGGGACTGGACCAGAAAAAGAAACTTTGATGACTCTGAGGAATGTGTTGAGGTTCTAAATAATGAGTTGCGGGAAATGTTCAAGAGCTGTTTTCCTCTCATCAAGGTCAAGATATTATACAGGGATCCACCATACATGTCAACCTTAGTTAAGCACCTTTTCAACGTCAGAAACAAGACTGCACGCTGGGGGGTGAGGCACTGCCGACAGAATTACGAGAAGGAAAACCCAAGGCTATCCCAGTCAGTACAGTGTTATGCCTCGATGATATTAACGCCTAATTCCAGGCTATTAATACTGAAAATGCATAAAGTGCTCTAAGGCTATCTGTGATACCTGATGGATATCCAGTCCCTACAGCTGATGAATACTCGGTTTTGAATCTCTTAGCCCACCAAAAGCGTTCTGCATGCGGTCCTCAGTGATGGAATTCCTCACTGGTTTTGGCTGGATTAGGCAATATACCTAGCACCCATTAGTACAAGGATCTTTAAGAGCTCTCAAGCAGTACCCTTGACATGGAAATTGGCCAATGTGTCACCCATTCCAAAAGAGTCACCGTTAAATGATTACAATCAGCTACGCCAGTATCGCTAACCGATGAGAGTTTTTGAAAAATTGAAATACAAATAAGAATTGTCCCCTGCTCTTATGTAAGTGCAGGGTGTCACATTAAGGCTCTTAAAATCTTTGGTAAAACGGTTTTGCCCCTTTCCAGGAATCCTGATGATCAAAGAAAAACAGCTATCATCCTTCAAGCTTCTCCATGTGTAGAGAATCACAAAACTCAGGTATTTGCTCGTATTATGCTAGCCATGGGTTATACGAGAACTTTCAATCGTTCCACCTTCATCTTCGCCTTTACACCATGTCCTCTGGGAATGTTTTCAAATTCCACCAAACCTGGAGGTGAAAAGTGCACAAAATTTTCACCTGGTATTTCATCTAGGCTTTCATTGTTAAGTATTTATTAGATTTAACAGCCTTTAGCAGAGTGATATTCTAAATTGAAGCTTTTCTAAAACGATCACTTGAGTTTTAAATGTAGTACTAGGTAGAATTTTGAAAAATCTCACATCGTTTTCTACGAAGTCAGTGTAATTCAAGTCATCATAGAATATACGGACTTGAGGATTTACCCTCATCTTGCTTTGGCTGCTACATGTACGCCTTCGTCACTGGACTTCGATTCGCTATAAGTTGGATTTGTGTTATATTATGTTAAACCTTAAATATTATGACGTTATTGTTTGTCCATTACGGACGGACCACCTACAATTGAACCGCATTTGGGTTGGTTGTCTTGGTTGTGCAAACGATTAGTCGTTTGGTATCTTATTTCAAATGCATTAACCTAGAGCGCTTCTTTCATACTGAAGTAAGATAAAATATATTGGCGTCCGCCTTTATGGGCTTTAAAACGGCTCGCCTACGGATCGCCCTTTTAAATCTCCTAAGGGACTCCTGCTCATATTTTAAGTATTTCGTGGAAAATAGATTGCGATTGATCTCAGACCATAATGATTCAAATTCTCGTTCTACAAAAACTCTTCCAAATCCTGATATTTTAACAAAAGCGTAACAAATGGATCAAAGATGGAGTGCAGGACTTCTATTTTTCCTTATTAAAGGTGGAATAATCATGTGATAGAACATATGATGGTTTACACAGGACTTCTATTTTTCCTCGTAACTGGTGGAATAACCACATTTCTAGTAAAACACGAGTAGCTAAAACGAATCTGATAAACAACGTCCAGTTTGACTAATCTTTTAAAAAGAAAGACTTCTACTTTTCCCTAGTCGCTGAATGGCTATCCTTTCGCGGTTGAGAGAGGAAGTCCGTCTTCCAGATCAGGGATGGTCAGAGTGGGAGAAGGCTATGGTCCCCCAAGATGACCAGAGCAGCAATCTTGAAGAACGTTGAGAGAATCATGTTGGATCCTTTTGCTCGAGCATACGAACCGCGTTTTAGATTCCAAGTTCCTTTTCCTATGTCTATTTTTTCCCGTTATAAAATGTGCTCTTGGATTAAAATTTCTGTGAAAAAGGGGAAATTTTCTCAGTGAGTTATTTTTCGAATCTTGATTTCTGTCTTGATACAAGCTGTGTAATCGATAAACGGAAAATATGCTACATGTAATGTGTTGAGTCTGTGGCTTAGAGCTATCGGTGGGTCACGATTGTAGTACACCGCGGTTAAAGTGAAAACAGTTTATTCATGTCCGTTACACACTTACTAACCGAAAAAGAACTACTACAATCAATTAAATACACGCTATATGTATACATGCAAATCCATAAGTCCTGAGTGTATTACATCACTTGTATTCGTTTCAACAAGTGGGCATCACGATACATTACAATGATGGTCAGTGTGCTTTGCATGGCTCGTGAACATGATTCCGTTTTTAAAGTGCATATGACTCAAATTTTTTTCTTGTTCCTTGTAGTTGGATATCTATAGAAAACGTTTTGCAGCTTTAAAAGTGCTAGAAAAATGTAAAAAGCATTTTTTTGCTTTCAAAACACGCGCAATTTGCCTTCAAATTTGTCCCGGAGACTGGGACCTAGTTTATCGCCGTCGAAGTTTTCGTGACGTCACATTATGCACCTTTGTTGCGAAGGTCTGTTGTCGCTAAGAGGATTCTGCAGTACTCGGTAGTAGATAGATAGTGCATTGAAAGGAAAAGATGTCCAGTGATCCTAATGATTCCTTTGAGTCCGACTCTTCTGAAAGTTCCATTGACTTCGTAGAATCTGAAGATGAAGTAGAAGTAGTTACAGGAGAGCACGCACCATGCCGAGACGAACCGCTCGCAAGCGATGGCGAACAAGACGAAGAAAGCGAAGATACTGACCTAGATGGAGTGACGCCTTCAGTTTTGGAGGCCATATTTTGACGTCGCGTTGCAGTTAGCGAATGGTTAGTGCATCATGTTTATCTTTTTGTGAATATTATAAAACAGCGAAACTGTAGGGTAATCATAGCTCTGACGAAAGGGCTAACGCTCGAAACGTCAGCTTTTGTAATCGTTACGGTGGCCAATTTACCATTTCAACTTTGTTGGTATATCCAAATTATAATCATAGCTCTACCTTACCTTAGGTGCAAATGTGAACAATGCAATGTGAACGAACTGGAGTGCATGTGAACAATGCAGTGACGAAATGCAGTGACGATTAGAATACCTTAGATTAGTCTATTGTCCTTTGAAATATTAATCTTTGTCTCTGACCATAAGCCATTTAAGCCTCTGGCTTTGGCCAATCTTAAGAATTCACTTGTATGACACAAACCTTGGCAGACGCACTAGAATTCCGTTGTTACCGCGAGGTGACAAATGCCAGAAGACAGTTAGTTTTCGATGGTTCCATCGAAATCATAAGCTGCATCGCGCAACACAAAGATTACAGTGCTCTGACAAACAGGACCGTGCTGTTACAAGTTGCAACTTTACTTCGCGATCAGAATGGGAGGGCATACAGGCGACGAACTGGAGTGCATGAAAATGACTCAGTAACGTTTTGTTGGCGAGAATGCAAATGAGGTGAATTATGGACACAGATATTAGGATCGCTTCTTACTTTTTTTTGGTTACTATGCAGATTTGTGAGAGCTGTTATATACCGATGGGCTGTAAGATGGTTGTGCGGTTACATGGGTTGGGAAAACAGAAGACCGCATCCAGCTTGTGTATATCATAATATAAGGTGCAAGTTCCAAACCAACAACACAAGAGGGTATGCCGCTGCACAAGCAAGAGATTACCAGTGTTGCACCCAAGTACTTTAAGGTCTGAGTCAAAGACTTTTACTGGTAAAAATAATTTACTAATGATATTTCTGAAGATAAAAGTGACAATGGAACCAAACTTAGCACACAGTGAAGTTTAAAACAGGCCACGTGGTGTTTAGCGAAAAATAGGCATTGTTCTTTTCATTCTTGATGCAGGCCTTAAACTGCTTGGGCACTCCAGTGATTTTTTCAAAATGTAAATCATTACTGTATAAGCCTTGTTTTATAACAGTCATTCCTTGTTCACTCGAGAGCCTTGAACAGCAAAGTGCATTAATTTTGTTTCTGCCCGATATTTGGATATTCACCTGATTCAGTTGTACCTGGTCATCTTTTGTTTGTGTTCAATGACATTACATTGAAGGAGGTCATGGGGTTTGTCTAAAAGCTCAGAGGAGTCAAATGGGGCCGAGTCATGCTTTCTTTGAAGAAAAGATATACAAGAACTTATTTATGTGGCTTATTTTTCACCTATGTAAATTGGGGAGGGGGGTGGGGTGGGGGGAAGGTTAAAGTCCAAAATGTCTGTTGCTGATTAGGGGTTGTATAATCCCTGGTAATCCCTAGCTTCTGTCTAGCCAGTAAACCATAGAGTCGTAAGGGCATATTTCAAGAGGTAGTAGTGGGTATACCAATTGTATGTAAGAATTTTGCTTTATTGAAATTCTCAAAAGTATAGAACCACAGGTTCCAAATTACCTCTTTATTTCAACCAGAACATACTTGTAGACCTAAAAATCACTATAAATATGTACTCTTTAGTCCTAGGCCAGTAAGTAACCATTTTGTCATGCAAAAGGTTTAAGACCAAGAAAAATTATGTTATTCTCAAGGATATAATAATTAGATAACTTGAATTTTGCCCAATAATAAAAGAGAATGTGTAAAACGAAGACCATGATTGGCAATAATATGGTAATTTCTTCACCCAAAGGTCAGAGATTTATTTTATTGTTTTCTTCACACACAAATTAGTAGATAGATAGATAGACTGGTTTATTAAAATCACATCGCAGTAAAATACTGAATTGCGCAATTTTTTTACAAACTACTACTATCTAACTACTATCTATCTAACTACTACTACTATAAACTACTACTATACAATATAAAATGTGACGACTTAAAGTTCTGTTAAAAGTTCTCTACTGCCGCACCCTTCACGAAAAACGAATTAGCAAAACGCTTTGTCTTGGCTGCTGGTACATTGTACGTTCTTTGGCGCCATAAATTATAATGAGGGCTATGGGCTTCAGGAATTAAGTAATGTAGTTTGCTGTTCTGATTCTCGCTGATTGATTTAAATAATGACTTTGTAACGTCTTCGTGATGTTCCCTGATAGAAGTCAAACAGGCGCGCTCTAACGCTTCCCCGTATGGCATTCAAGGAAAAATACTCTTTTCTGAACTCTTTCTAACTCTGACTGTAAGTACTGAGGTAGAGAATAATGGAACACAGGGCAAGCGTAGTCAAGGGAGGATCTAATACATGCGCAGTAGTAGGCAACAAGATCTTCGGCTGGAACACGCGCACGTTTAAGTTGCACAAGGAAATGAATTTTCCTAGCTGCTTTCTAAACTAAACTATCTACATGATCGATCCATGTTAGTGTGTTGTTGATGGTAAGGCCAAGAAGCTTGCTAGAAGTAGTTGCTTGGATCTGAGTCCCATCAACTACAACTGGGTCGAAAAGTTCCGGGCAACGACAGAAACTGATAGTAAGCTCTTTTGTCTTCTCAAGGTTTAGCTGGAATAAGTTGTCCTCTGACCAGTTTGAAACGTGGTCCACTGCTTCTTGTGCTCTAGTTTGTTGCCCCTTCGGTACTTTTGCTGACAGGGTGGTATCGTCCACGTACTTCCACATCCCAAAGAACGCACTGGGGGTTAAGAGGTCGTTGATCATAAGCGAAAAAAGCCAGGGCCCCAATTTGGTCCCTCGGGGAACACCCGCTGGTACCGCACCCCATTCAGACATACAGTCGCGGCTGAGTTTAACCCTCTGTACAGTTAGTGTGTAGTCGCAGCATCTAGCACATGTAGCCCTCCTCCCCGCCTTTTAGTAGCTGGTTAAACTGCCGATGTTGCAAGTGCATCTCTTTTTAACTACGGAAATAATTGTAAGGTAACGCTTTTCATTATTGAATGTTAAATGCAACAGAATGCAAATAACCTTGAATTTTCCCCTTTTTTTGTTTCTTTCTGTAAGAAATTCTTCTGCACTTGGCGATAACACCGTGTCTCTGGTTGGTAAAAAGCCTTTTATGAGCACTCTTGTAAAATATGAGGTGGCCATACCCTCCAGAATTGACCGATTATGCGTAAAACAACTTTCCTCGAAGTGAGCTGAACACAAGGACGCGTACTCATTCACAGGCTTGCCGAAATCAACTCGATGTTTCTGCACAAAGCGTGCCCACTGTGCTCTGACTCCCGGATCAGTGGGAAACTGGTGCATCGTGATTCTCTTCTGTGTGCGAATTATTCCCACAGCTCGTTTTATTTGGGGCGTCAGCGACGCAGCGTCTTCCCCCTTTCAGTTTCTTTCCCTTTTCCACCATATTTGATGTTGCCTTGAGGTACACAATGTGACGTCACGTTACGATGTCACGTGCGATTTTGGCCGCGCGATGACCGGGACAAATTTGAAGGCAAATTGCGTGTATTTTGAAGCAAAAAATGTGCTTTTTAAATTTTTCCAGCACTTTTAAGGCTTCGAAACGTTTTCTATAGTTATCCAACTACAAGAAACAAGAGAAAAAAATTTCGTGTCATATGCACTTTAGCGACCGACATAGCATTTTGTTCCTATTGTCCTTGACCATAGGAACAAAAAAGTTAGATTGAACACCCGTCTGTTTCGGACGTTTTCCTTTGTCTCACAGAATACTTTAAATAAATGATCGTTTCCAAGAAAACAAATACTATTCGATTTGAAATTGATCTAAGGGATAAAAAAGCCAAAATTAAAAACAGTAAAACGCAAGCATTGTGATTCTCTTCTAGCACATCGATAAACTTCACACCATTGTAATTTCACTAAATACGACTCTACTGATGTTGTGATTACCGTTGATACGGGCCTTACCACAACAGAATCTAAGGAAAGTATTTCAAATTACATTACAGCATTCATAATTATATAACTTCAGTTTGTACCATTGAAAATTGATGCTACTGTATAGCCTGGTTCACATATAATCGCAGACAATCGCAGACGATCGCAGGCGATTGCACGATCGCTGAAACCACTCAACTGAAGATCGCGAATCGCTTGTTCACGTATGATCGCAGCCGATCGCAGCAATCTGTGACAACCGAGTCCATGGTTTACCATTCAGCGGCAATACAATGTAACTCCAGTCAACCAACATAAACGCAAAGGACGCTGAACTTTTAATAGGTGTTGACATTCTGCTTCTGTTGTCTTTACCTTAAATGGAGAATCGCTGCCAGATCAAAGAAGAAACGTCGCTTCTTGGTGCAGAAAGTCTTAAGAAAGAGAGAATTCTTTGCTAAAGCGATTGAACAAACAATCATATTTTCTAATTTCGTTCATAAACTGTTCCGTGTTTATTTCACCTTCCATCTTGTCAACACACGCACGTGTAAAAGTTGATAAACAACTGGTTGTCATGGTATCATGCCGCTTGCATAACATTATTGGACACATTCCAATCGCTTGATCGCTGAACTTTGCTCACATATGATCGCACTCGATCGCAGACGATCGCAACTAATCGCATGTTCGATCGCCTGCGATCGCGATCGCACACGATCGCAGAGCTGTTCACATATAATCGCAGACGATCGCTGGCGACCGAGTGCGATCGCCTGCGATCGTCTGCGATCATATGTGAACCAGGCTTATGAGAACAAGTTGACCACGAATACTATTAAAAGTGAAAAATAAAATCTACTTAAGAGAAGGAAAAACTATGGAGATGCGGTTACAATTATTAATATTTGATATCTGTATCGAATCAATTCACTGAGTTCTCAGGTAGAGAGGAATTCTTTCTCAAAAGAAGAGATTAAATTCCTTCCTCTCAGTAACCTCTGTCAGATGGATTTTCGTCTACGCAGAACTCGTATATCTTCTGTTAACCCAACCTCTTTTTTGAATGTTGTCAGAATATCTTTATCGCCTCGGAAAAGCTTCTGCCAAAAAAACTGAAGAAAGTTGAGGTACAAGGAAGCATTTATAATCATTAAAATGAGGTCTACTATGTTCATTGGCTTTGTTTCACCATGCTCCACGGTGTATAACTTGAAGGCGACCTGACATGAGACGGCTAAAAACTTGCAAAGATTGTCCAGGACAAAAACAGACATAGTTAAACAACAGCCACCTCTCGAAATGGCTCGAAAGCCTTTTTTGCTCGAAGGCGGAAATGTAAAGTTCAGTTGAAATAACAAAAGCAATGTCCATAGTTTTGAAGCCACCACTATAAGCATTCAACGTAAATCTTCGCCTGCCTATTGTTGACCATGATTAATACATCATAAAGGACAACGGTATACCTGTGGTTGTGTTGAGAGACCAGAAGTACGGCTTTTTTATGATACTCTTGAAAATTGTTTTGTTCCTAAACAGTCTTAATTTTGGTAACATCTTTGTGTTGAGTAAAAGAAGCCACACGGTGGATGTTATGATCGAGCACGCGAGCCATATCGTCTTCCAGCAGTACGGATCGCAGTTTGGTATATCGTAAACGGTAAATCCGTTGCAGTCCACACTAGTTGAGTCGTGGTACAAGGTGCAGTCAATCATGAATATTGAAAACATTACCAGTGTAAATAGTCTAAACAACTGGGAAACAATGCAAAGCTGCGGAAAGTATGAGGACACCAGTGCGAAGAATCTGTTCTGACGCTAGGAAGGGAATGGTCAATAAAGTATAGAGGGTAATCAGATTTTTACATAATTTACTTTGTTAAGCATTCGTCTTTCATGTACTTGAGGAATGAAGAAGCCTCAACTGTGCTATGTTCGGTTGTAAAGCACGCAGGAAGTGGCTGAAGATTTTGCTTTGTAGAAATTTACCGCGTTTTTTGCACTTTGCGCACTTTCACCTCCCTTCTACAAAGAGCGTAAAGACTNAATTTACCATTTCAACTTTGTTGATATATTCAAATTATGAGTCAAAACTCTACGTGGAATACACATAACGGCCTTATACCTATTTATCATAAAGTTCGGATATAAAACGCACTGTCACTGGTTGAAAGGGCGTGCTATATCAGAGTATAGAATATGGAGCTAAACTGAAGTTGTCACGCCATCTGCCAATTTGCACTTTTTATTGCTTTTTTTCGTTTATTGATGATGAAATTTGGAAAGATGCTAGACGGCAAGCAGCAAATGAAGAACCAGGTTTGTTAACTTTCCAAGTGCCGTGAGTTGCTTTAAAATAACTTGTACACATCCGAAATCCTTAAGGAGAAAACGAAATGGACAGTCC